GTCGACTCATGACATGTGTCTTAAAAATGCATTTTCCTCGGGTTAGGTATGGTTGACCTACCGGTCGATGCATACTGTTAGTATTTCTATTTGTCAAAAAATTCAGGCTATGCGTCGACGTATGCCTTGTTCCGGTCGACGCATGGCTGTGTGTTTTGCATAATATGTTTCCTCGGGTTAGCTCAGGTCGACCCTACACTCTGCATGGGTCGACCGCTCGCTGTTTTATGCATATTTTCTGATTTGTCTATTACTTTTGAAAAATGGTTTTATCAGTTATAATAGTTTTGTCTGGTATAAATATTCAGTTGCTCTTTTAACTTCACATACATTGAATCATTCAAAAAAATAAGAAAAGTGAAAGAGGTGTTAATTCAAGTTCTCATCATCTTCATCTTCTATATTTCATACCACAACAATCACACACAATAATCTTTGTTGTGCATTATGGATTGTCAAAGGTGATAACGTTCGAAGCCGCTGATTGGGTAATCCGGTTCGGGTTTAGGAATTGACAGGTTTTTCTTGAATATAACCTCTAGGGTTTTGTCCTCCAAGGTTCTCTAAATTTGGGGGTTTTTGAACGATTCTTCTCAACACATATTCATCCAAGTGAAGGTGATCGAGGACCGGTGGATTCTGTCGATCTAGTAGCGGTAAGCGGAGGATTGTGAAGGAGAGTTTCGGATTCGACACGCGAGTGTTTGAGATCATCCGGGCTGGGGTTTGAAGACAGAAGGTTTTTCAAACATAGAGCTGTAATCGGAGGTTCACTCACGAGCTGTCGAAGGACTTGATTCAACTCGAATCAAGGGGCAAGAAGAGATAGCATCTACAACAACAAGGGTGTTTGTTTGTTTGATTGCTTTCAATTCTTGTATATACGATTCTATAACATGTTAAATTTATATTATAAGGTCTCAATTCTATTGTTAGAATTGAGGGCAGACGTACCCCGGAGCGAGGACGATGGGGGAACTGCCTCAACAAATCCTTGTGCCTTTTACCTTACGTTTTTACATTGCTTAATATTTGTGTGGTTTTAGTGCAAACAATTATATCAAATTTAGGACTGTTTTGAGTAAGTGCTAAACTAATTTTGACTCTAGTACAATCGTTGATTGTACAAGGAAACTAGAGCAAATTACTCAAAGCTGAACTCGCTTGTAGTGCTCTGCACTCCAAGTGATTGATAAATTATCTGAACGAAAAGCCTTGTGTGCTGTCCATTTATTGTGGTAATATTTTAAGGCATTGGAACTAGTCATACCACATAGTGAGCCAAATCAAATTGATAGTGTGACTAGCGTAGTGATTCTCATTACTCGTTATCCAATTCCATCGGCTAAAACGCATATCCGGTTTTCTAGTAACCGTTCGTTATAGATGATATTTTTTCCACGGCTGCTTCCGCAAATTAAACAAATTTTTAAAACCAATTTGCCGAATATTTTTTTAACCAAGGGATCTATTCAACCCCTCTTCTAGATCCGCGCCATCGTCTAACAGTTAGGAGTATGAGATGATGACTGATTTTTAAAGGGAAACATAGTTTCATAGAAGACAACATTCCTAGATAAAAAGATGTTATGATGATCCAAGTCATTTAAATATATCCTTTGGTACCCTCCTCGTAACTAAGGAATATGAATTGCATAGCCTTGGTATTAAACTTTTTTCTATGAGCTTGTAAAGTGGAAGCATAGAAAAGACAACCAAAAACCTTCAATTGAATTAAATGTAGATTCATGAAATAAGAGTTCATATGGACATTTTGATTTCAACAAGGGGGTACAAAATATATTAATGATATGAATAGCATGTTGGACACAAAAACTAAACATATTCAAAGGAATGTTGGAATTGAAGTGTAATACCCCAAATTTTGCTCTAAGATTAGTCATTTCATCTTGCATCCCATTTCATTTTGCATTACGTTTAAACTAGCCACTAACGGATTGTGCAGTTGGTTGATTGTTGCAAGAAAATATCATGTGACACGCTCTTTTAGTTTACAGGGCTTCTAGTGCCACTTTATTTTGAATGAATAAAACAAAAACCCTATTTTTTATAATTAATATTAAAACTTCTCTTTTTCTTTTTGAATAAAATTAAAAACTCTTTGTTTTTTATAATTAATATTAAAACTTCTCTTTTTCTTTTTGAATAAAATTAAAAACTCTTTGTTTTTTATAATTAATATTAAAACTTCTCTTTTTGTTATAATTAAAAATTAAAACTCTTTTTGATATAATTAATATTAAGATTTCTTTTATGTTACAATTAAAAAACTGAAAAAAATTTTAATTAAAAAAACTTAACTCTTTTTCAAATAAATAAATAAAACTTGATTTTCTAGCTAAAAATTCAATTCTAACTCTTTCTTTAAAAAATTAGTTTTTTATAAAATTAAAATCCACTCTTTTTTTTCAAAAATTAAAATTAACTTCCTATCTTATCATAAATTTCTAACTTTTTATTAAAACTCTAATTGTTTAACTCAAACTTTTTCTTAATAAATTTCTAACATTTCACACTTTCATTCCAATTTTCTTACTAAAAAATACTAAAATAAAAATGCTTAATATTCCCGTTTAATTTTCATCTTTTGTCCTTGGGTATTAATCCAGTACTTTTCACATTTTATTTTCTTTGGGTTGTAATTATGCGAGGCCATCGTCGCAATTATTGTTCTTGTTTATTTTTTCGATTGTAATTTATGCGAAGCTATCGTCGCAGTTATTTATTTTTCGCATTTTTTGGGATTTGTAATTTACGCGAGTGATCGTCGCATGCTTATTGTTTTACAACTTTATTTATTTTCCGTACCGTTAACTCTGCCATGTAATAATTCATCAGTTGCATAATTTACCGTTAAAACCCTCCGAAGGAATTAGGTCTAGCCGTTTGACCGCCGAGTCAATAACCCTAACCTTTTGACTATTTCAAACCCTATTTAGCCTAGGCGTTCCGTCGTGGACAAAAATACCCTTTACCCTAGCTTTTAGGTCAAAGAGTCGCCGTACTCTGTTTTAGGGTTTCCCGCTGTGGAATCCCTAATTTCAATCCTAATTTTAATTCAACAATTCAAAGTAGAAATAGGAGTTTCAAAACTCCACGTAAGCGTTTCTTTAAGAAATGCTTACTCCCCATCGAAACCTTGACCACAGTCAAGAAGTTTCTAACCCCCCTTTCGAGGGGAACTACGATTACTCTGATTCCATTCCCTATCCAGGATACGTAGGCACAAGATGCGACGTCTTGCCGAGTAAACTTAGGAATAACCCTTAGGTCTTTTAGGTCACTCTATCCCTTAGCTCAATATATATTCAAACAGATAATAAATAAAAATAAAAGGCATACAATAAACAAAAGGTTCCTGTAGAGTACTACAGAAGTTTAGGGTGCTAGTACCTTCCCTAAGCTTAACCAACCCCTTACCTAGGTCTCTCCCCGCATCGTGTTTACGATGCAAAAATAGGTTTTCCCTCTTTTGACCTTTTCCTTCGGATAAATCAAAGAGCGGTTGTGAATTAAGAATTGTGATTCAAACTAATTAATAGTTTGCACTACGCCAAAATTGGTTTTTTGTATCGCCTACTTTAATAGCGCTTTTTAAATAAGCGCTATTAAAAAAGAAAGAAACATATTTATAATAGTGCTTTATAGTAAAACGCTATTAAAGAGTACAGAGAATATGATTTTGATAGCCCTTTGTAAAAAAGCGCTATTATAGGTATTCACTAAGATAGCGCTTTTCTAAAAAGCGCTATTAAAATGTTGTATTACAATAACACTTTTATAAAAGCGCTATTATTAAAAGCATTACGATAGCGCTTTTTAAAAATCGCTATTAAAATATGTAACTACAATAGCGCTTTTTATAGAACCGCTATCGTTTCTATAATTGTGTTTTAAGATAGCGCTTTTTTAAAAAGCGCTATTAAAATATTCCACTAAATTAAATTAATTAAAATATGAAAACCTTTCCCTGGTCCAAATGTTTTTCGTTTTGGCGCAAAATTCCTTCTTCTTCGTATCATTACTCGGATTCCCCTCTCTCTCAATCTCGTTTCACTGGCTCTCTCTTTCAAACTCTCTCAATCTCCTCTTATTCTATTTCTGAATCTGGTTTACGTTTGTTGATGATGATTATTCTGAATGGTTTGGTTTTGATGATGGAAATCGATTGAAGTTTGAGGTTTACGGCGGAAGGAATGGAGATTTGGATTACTGAAAGAGGGGTTAGGGTTTATGATTGGGTGTTCGGTTGTTTCACTTTGAATCTCTCTTCCACTTTTGGTTCTGGTTTTGGGGGTGTTTTGAAGTTGGATTTACAGATGAAATGGGTTTGAAGCCAATTTGAAGTGAGGGATGGATTAACGGTCGGAGGTGAAGGTTTCTGGAAGGGGTTCCGATGGAGGTTTTGAAGGAGTTTTCCGGCGTTTTGTGTGTGGTTCTGTTAATGGTGAGAGATGGAATGAGGATTCTGTGTTGAAGATTTTCGGATGTTGAAGTTAGGGTTAAAAGAGGGGTTTAGGTCCGGTTCTGTTTTGATGTTAACGGAGGGATGTTTCCGGTGTTTAACGGTTTTGATGGGTTTCTGATGTTGATAGCGGCGTGCGGCGGAGTAAGGTGGGTCGAAGGGAGGTTTGTTGTTCTTCAGGTTAGGTTTGGGCGTTGAAGGATTGAGACATTGTATCCGGGTTTTGCGAGTTTAATTTGATTGAGGTTCTAAGCTTGTTGTTGTGTGCCTCAGTTCTGTTTAGATCCTTGGAGGAAGTTTTTTCTGGCTGACTACTGCTGTGAGTTTAAGTGTGGTTTGTGTTGAACTCCTGCTACTGCTAGGCTTTGGTAAGAATTATCACAGGTAGGCTAGTTGATTTAGTATTTTAGGACTCAGTAGGTTTCTCTGCTTATTTGAACTTATAAAGGGAGGTTTTTATCATATAGCATATGAAACTCATCAACATGGATTGGAAATTGTACAAGACTTGACTATGGCTCGACGGTTCACAATGCAAAACCTCGTCATTGAAATGATGAATATTAAAGAACAAATTCATTCTCAAGTATGCTCTTCTTGCTCATATCATATTCTTCTTTTACATTTCCTATTTATTTATACTTTGAAATATTTGTTTGCATAACTTATTTATATTACATATAGGCTTTAATAGAAGATGCTCGCAATATAATGGCTTGGAAGTATTTTGCTATGGAAGCTTCTGATTCTAGAAGCTATTCAGATATTGGAAGAATGGTTCAGCGACTGCAAAATGTGAGTTCTATTTCTTAAGCTTATATTTTACTAGTAGTTTAAAAATTTCACAACTACTTAGTAACAATGTGGTATATCTTTTTCATTTATAGAGCTTACTGCAACATTATATAGTGGCTGATTGGAAACTGCATTGTTCTAAGTCTTGGGTTTATCGATGCGAGATGGCAAAAACTGCAGAAGAAATTGAGATGATAAATGAGGTATTTATAATTTTGATATCAAATATTTCTTTTATTATAATTGTTTGATTAATTATTTTATTCTGTTGTTTAAGAATTGATTGATTCCATTTTGTGGAATGATGTTTTCGGTCTCTGGAATGTAGCACCAGAACCAAAATTAGGTGAGGTATGGAAAAATTGGAAGCATGATGTAATGAAATGGTTTTCAAGAAATCTTTTGGTTTCCCGCAGTAACGGCTCGCAGCCACATGCTTCTAGTTCTAATGGATTGTGCCAAACAAGCTTTCAAGCTGGTTTTAAAAGGCCTAAACATCAAATTCTTCGTACATGCACACCTTCGACGCATAAAAGTACCTTGGAGGTGCCCGTGGAAACTGAGTTTCCTAGTCAGTTGAGGAATGAATTTAGTGATATTGGAGTCGAAGGTGTAGATTCTGATGTTTCGCCCATCACGGAAATGGTATCAAGGCCCATGGAAGATGAAGAAAGGCCTATGGATGATGAGGAAATGCCTATGGATGACGAAGAGGCTATTGAATTATTTGCAGAACCTGATAATTATAAGAGTCGACAGTGCGAAAAGTTTATCAAAGCCAAGGGAAGGCAATGCAGGAGACAAGCAATTGGTAGTGATAAATATTGTTTTGTTCATTTCTTCAGAAAACCTGAAAAACAAGTTAAATCTCCTACGCCTATGTGTGGAGGTACAACTATGGCTGGTACTAAATGCAAGCATCATTCACTTCCTGGCTTTTCATTCTGCAGAAAGCATTTGAGCAGTGTTAAGACAAACAATAGTTCAAATTCAAAACGTCGTAGATCGAAAAGGAAACCAAAAGTAAACTTCAGTGGTTCGACTTCAAAGAGAAGGGTTCACGAAGACTTAGGTGCAGCACCTCCGAAAAGTCCATTGAATATTGATCCGGTATCGGTCATTAAGGATGATTATTTCATTGCAAGGAACATCTTAGGAGAAACACTCAGACTTTCTGGTAATGATCACAACGAGGCTCTTCAATGGATAGAGTCTCCTCCTAATCTCAATGATGATGATAATGATAATGCAGTTAAGTGTAAGGTATGTAGTAAAACATGCCAGAACAGAGTATTGCAGAAGGGAGTTCAAGTTAAATTGGAAGTCTTTAAAACAAAGGAAAAGGTTGCCACTGTTCTTCTTTTGATAAATAATTCAAAATTACTCAAAAGACTTATTATGCTAACAAGCTTTATTTGATTCTTAGGGATGGGGAGTTAGGGCTGGCGAGGACATTCTTTGTGGAACGTTCGTGTGTGAGTATATCGGAGAAGTTGTAGAAAAGACGGAGGTGCACAAAAGACGAGAAAGGTTCGAAGTTGTAGGAACGTTGGTGTGTCTTCTTTGATATACTTACTAGGTTTGTGTTTGTACCAGATACGGAAAAAAAGGCTCACAGTAATGATATGAGTGGAATTACCGAAGGAAATGCCCGCAGATACATGATTGATTCTACTCGATATGGAAATGTGTCTAGATTCATTAATAACAGGTAAGCAAAGATTTAATGCATAAATATATGGTATTTACTGGAAAATAATTGATGGTTTGATCTTATCGTTATTGCAGTTGTTCACCGAATCTTGCAAATTATCAAGTTTTTATAGAGAGCATGAATAATGAGCATGCACATATTGGTCTTTATGCAAATAGAGATGTGAGTACTCTCTTGTTTATAAGAATGAAAAATTGCAATGCATGATTATGAGTATTTGAATGTTTTTCTGGATAACAGATTGCTTTGGGTGAAGAGTTGACATATAGTTATGAGTATGAGTTTGTTGGTGGAGAAGGATATCCTTGTCTTTGTGGATCCTTGAAGTGCAGAAAGTTGTGGATATGCTAAAAGCTCAACATTCTATCTATTGTTGTTGTAATAGCATGTTTAAATTATGTATGTGTAACAATGAATGATTTATGGTTCTATTTTAGACTTGATGTATCCTGTTAAATGAGACTTGAAGTTTTCTATTATGGTGTGTGCATTTTGGCATTGCAAACATATAGTTGCTAGATGGTTTTGGACTGTTAGAAGTTGAATTGGATATAATTTGATGTTTAGAAAAATAGAAACTGTTATAGAAATTCGTTAGTAAATTTGGTTATTTGATGTTAAGATTGGTTCATGTTAATTAATTGTTATGTAAGGAAATTGTTAGATTGAAATGGATGATATGTTAAAGTGTTATGAAAGTTAGTTTTGAATTTGAAGTCATGAACTAAGTTGCTATTGTATTGTTAATACAGTGAGATTATCATGTGAATGAATTGCTATGATGACTGAATTGCTTGAACAAGTATGGCCTTATGGGACTTTATTAGAATTGTTCATGGAAGTTAGTTACGATGTTATTGCTAATGGTTGTGATGGGTATGTTGCAGGTTGTGGTTTACGATTCGGTATCGAATTGTTGTCGTTTCCACCGTTTTGCAACTTGCACACTAAGTGTTCGGTAAATTGCCTCAACCAAGTTTATTTTCCTTTTTCGTTTCTGTTTCTTACTCATCCATGGGTGGATGCTATTTCAAAAAAATCAAAGGAGAATGCTTCTAAGATGGAGGCTCAGTTGGTGAAGGACGTTGTGCCGTTTAATTTTCTTACGCTTATGAGGATTATAAGAAATGCTATCTCGGAATGGGGTGGAAGTCCTGCTCCTGTGGTGGTTTCTGAAGGTGCTAATACCATGGATGTCGGTCGAGGTGTATTGGTTCAGAAGGAGCCAAGGACTAGGTTGGATGCTGGCACTTGGGGGACTATGGGAGTTGGTCTTGGTTATTGCATTGCTGCCGCTGTTGCTTATCCTGATCGCCTCGTTGTTGCCGTTGAAGGAGATTCTGGATATGGGTTCAGTGCCATGGAAGTTGAGGTATATATTTTGTGATCTCTATTAGATATTCCATTGTTTTACATTACTATTGTTTTAGAATCGTGTTTGTGTGTGGTGTTCTCTATTAGATAAATGTGTTTATCTGGTGATACTTGACAGACATAAGCCATGGTACAATGCTGCAAAATCCCTAGTTCCATTTTAAATCAATTACCAATATTGTGAGTGTTTTTGCTTAGATTTTAGCTGGTTTTCCTGATAGTAAAGAGATTTGTTAGTTAGTAGTGGGCAACATAAGACACACATATATGAGATATCTGGATTTTTACCTTATGAAAACTTGTTAACAAGTTTGTTATTCTGGAATTAGGTGTTTACCTTTTCCCCAACCAAGCCTTTACAAGTTTCATATCTCTTGTTCTAGTCTGAATCGGAGAATATATTTTCATTCAAACAAAAATGTTATTTTGCTTGTAAATTTGAACCATGATCCAAATGCACTTTTTGTTTAAAAACTGAATTTCAATATTGTATAAACCACTCAAGTTTTAAGTTTATAAATTTTTGGTTCTTACTATATGCTATGTTGTGGTCTCATTTTTCTGCATATGCTTTACTCTTGCAAATCATTTTCTGAACACAAGCATGTAATTTGACGCTCTATCTTTATCCAGACATTGGTTCGATACCAACTGGCTGTGGTGGTGGTTGTTTTCAACAATGGTGGTGATCGTAGAAGCCCAAAAGAGATAGATGGACCTCACAAAGGGGATCCTGCTCCGACATCATTTGTCCCAAATGCAGGGTACCACACTATGATGGAAGCTTTTGGTGGAAAGGGTTATCTTGTTAGGACACCTGATGAACTAAAGTCAGCTCTCTCAGAATCATTCTCTGCTAGGAAACCAACTGTCATAAATGTTGTCATTGATCCCTATGCCAGTTCAGAGAGTGGGAGGATGCAGCACAAGAATTGATTTCTCTGCTCTGATTACTTGCCAAACGAATGCTGTGTATAACCACCCTTCAATTAATAAATAAAAACTGTAATAAATTTTGTATTAGATAATCCATGTAAGCCTTAGGCTTCTTGGGTTCGAAAGACTATGTTTGTCTTAAAGCCAGTTTATACATGAACAAGTTTAGTACATAATAAATTTAGGGAAAAGATATCGACAAGGTATGTAGAAACGGTTGTTTTGCTTTATGTAGCTGATTGGCGTGGAACCAGTGGAGAGTCCAGTGCTCTCGGGGGGGGGGGGGGGGGAAGCCTGGTGAGAGCTTTTCTGTAATAATTTTGTTTTTCAGAATTGCATATGAATGACAAAATTCTTGCATTACAGGTTGATCTGCTATTTAATTTCTATTGACCGGTTTATAAGTACTATAGAGACTTAAAGTTTTGTTATAGGGTCATAATGGTTCTAGAGGAGCATGGAACCATTGTCAATAGCAAAGTCTTTGAGATGAATGGTAAGAAACAAGGTCTGGTTCAGTTTGAGACTGAGGAGCAGGCTACGAAAGCCCTTGTGTGCAAGCATGCCACCTCACTTTCCGGCTCGGTACTTATTCATACATATAGTTCTCACACTTATCAAGCTTGTACCTGGAAACTCTGCAGGCACCGTCACTGCTTACTATGTAAGAACAAATAACTCTTGCTATTTTAATGCTTATTATATGCTACAATAATACTAATAAGTGATATTTCAAAATTCGTAATTATTTATTTTTAATATGGCATGTTGCAGTTGTCATCAGTACTGTCAATATTTATGTGTCAAAAGATGGTTTTTGATAGGTTTCTCAGTACTGCTTCTAATATAAATGTTCTTGACAGGTTTCTCAGTACTGTCAAAAGATGGTGGTCTCATTGGTAAGGAATGGAAATTGGGAGAACTGGAAGCATATAGATAGTTCTTCTTTGCTTGGAATTACAACTGCAAAAGATGGTGGTCTCATTGTCTGTGATATGCTACCTTGGTAAGAACTGTATACAATTCATGTATGTATGTATTGAATTGTAAGAAGTATATATTAATGGTGCATGCATGATTGAATAACAAATAATTATATATTTGCAGGGATTGCTGAAGGTTACAGAAGAAGATGGTTTCAGTGTTATCCTTTCACAAGTTAATGGTTCTCATTACTGACTTTGTTGAAAAATTTCCACTGTCAAGTGTAAACTAGTGTTGTTCGGAATTCAGATCTTATGTGTATTGATATATATGGT